CAGGCAGACATCCAGAAGCAATATCAGGTGAGCCACCTGCCCCCCACAGCCTGAGCCCAGCCCACTGCAGCCATGCCCCAGCAAGCCCAGGAGCTCCAGCACTTTAAGCTTTAAATGGTGAAGGGAATCCCCCAAACCTTCGATTTTTGTTACTAGGAGAGCACATCTGTTCCAGCAGTTCTGCCACTTACCATTAGTACAGGTTTCATTTGTCACACAGGAGCCACCGAGGAGGCTGTAACCTTCCTTACACCTGAGGCAGTTCCCACTGGAGCCCTCGCAGGCTGAGCAGTGGTCATCACACCTGGGGACAGAGACTTTGCTGTGGCCTAAGCCAGCATCAACACCTTTGTCAGGCCACCCTAAGTGGGCTGTCAGCCAAAAGACATCTGCTGGCACTGTGGCAGCCAGACCAAACCAGAGGATGTGGAAAATGGCAAATTTGAAGCTTGAAATGTTATTACAGCCCTGGGATTTGGTGAGGCCAGCTCAATGCCCAGTGACAGCTAGTGACATCCCAAAAGCTCTTGCTTTCTGGGAAGATTCAGTGGGACATGCACCTCACCTCTCAGGCATCCCAGCTAGAAAAGGAGCTGCAAAGTGAACCTGTGCTGCTCCCATCCAGTTTCTCAGAGTAAAGAGCCCAGCACTGTGCTTCCTGGCTGGGGACAGTGGCTTGTGGAGCCTATGCCTAAAATCCCTGGGAAGGGACACTGGTCCCTGGTTCCTCCCTGCCCAAGAAACAGTGCAGGTGAGTGAAACCCCAGCAGGCAGGGGTGGCATTGTGCGTTCCCAAGTCAACTTTAATCCTTGCCTTTTGTGTTTGCTTTCATGAGGCTGAATCCACTCCCACTCCCCACTTAAAGCACAGAGCTCCGGAGAGAGTGGGAGCAAATTGTTGCCTCCTGGCATCTCCCTGGCTCCTGCACACAGCCCCATGCTGGGCCAAGGAGTGGGGAACACTCCTCCAACATGGCCACGGGGCAAACAGAGCAGGTTTAATTGAAAGCTGGAGTATTTACCTAAACATTGCTGTTCCTCCCACACCTCCTCCAGAGAGCCCAGGGCTGAGGCTGAGCCCCTTCCACCATAGCCCTAAGACACCTTGGCTGGCTCTGGTGAGGGAGTGTGCAGCTCCACTGCTCTGAAATCCACAGGGCAGGGGCGTGTGGGGTCCAGCCCCACAGCTGCCCTGGCTCCCTCATCCCTATTTGAATTTCCATCAAGCTGTGAGCTGTTTCCAGCATTATCCTGCCATGGCTGGCAGTGCTCCCCATCGGCCCTGGCTTTGCTCTGGTGGTTCTGTACCTCTTGCAGACTTTGTTGGGCAGCCCGTGGCTGTCGGCGGGGTAGAAACCCTCACGGCAGGCAGGGACACAGCGCCAGTGCAGTGCAGGGCCCTCGGGGGTGCAGGGGGTGCAGTCCTCCTCACCTGGCCCTGTGGGGACAGGGAAAAGGGTAAAATGGCACCTGGGTGGTTTTGGAGACAGTGCAAGTGTGGCCACAGCCTCACATGTGATGGGGACACCAGCTTGGCTTTGTCTTACTCATGAACGAGATGCTTGTTGTGCCACAGGGTCCAGTGCATGTGCTTGGCTCCCACCCCAAAAAACTCAGCTTCCATCCCAAAAAACCCAGCCAGGACCCAGTGTCCATCCCTCTGCAGAGCCAAGAGCTGGCTACCAGGGCTCAGTGAGGAGCAGCACTTCAAAATCCCCTCTGGGCCATCAGCTGCCACTCCCAAGGTTTGGATTTCTCCAGGGTGGAAAAGAAGATGCTGGACTGGGCCAAGGAGGAGCTGCAGGAGGAAAGTGCTCCAGAGAGGAGCTGGGAAAGCAGAGGGCCCCACTCTGATGCCTCTGTGTTGTGGCTGGACAGCAAAGCTCAGTGATGGAGGTGGTATCATTAAAGGGTTTCCATGCACCAAGCTTGAGAAATGGTTATGCAGCAAAAGGAGACGAGAAAAGGCTGGAAAAATAATTGTGGTGGAGTACGTTCACACTGACTGGAATAAAAATTAGAAGGGAAATAATTTTCTTCAGGGATTAAGAGCCCATTCCCTTCCAGGCTTGCCAACAAGATCAATAAATATTTTGGATTTAGACTAAGGCAATTGCCCATGTATGATAGAAGAGGTTCATGCCACTGAACATGGATTGTCTAGAGATCATATTATCATCAGATCTATGATGATTTCGAGGGCAGACACAAACATTAACAATGGAAAATATTTGGACTTGCAGGAAGCAAGAAAGGCAGGATTTAAAGGGAATGCTGAGCAACTTGAGGCAGCTGGGGGAAGCTGGGAGTGGCCAGTCCAGCACCGTGGGGTGGCTGGGATAACATGGGATAACACAGGATAACACACCTCAGCTGCCTGACATTTTTATCTGCTGCAAAGCCACCTTCCATCACTCTGAGAGGGTTTTACAGCCTCCCCCGCAACCTTATTAAACTAAAGCACCTGGCTTCAGGGAGATCGAGAAATAAAAAATGGCTCTAATAAAAATGTAAAAACTCCCCTAAAAACCTTTCCAGCATGAACATATACCTCACAGGACATGCTGGAGACTTGGGATTGCTCTCCCTCCAGCACATTCTGCCTCGGCTCAGGGTGGGTACACTGGGGATTGGCATCTGATGCACGGGGGCTTTGGGGTTTTGCACAGGATGCTGTGGGGCCAAGGACGTACCTGTGCTGGTGGGGCAGGTCTCACACCTCCGGGGCTCCCGGCTGAGGTACATGGCAGGCTGGCACTCTGGCACACAGCTCTCCCCTGCCAGGCTGCAGGGAAAGCAGAGAACATTTGCACCCAAAGCTACAGGATATGGGGGACTCAACACAGCCCATTCCCATCTCCTCATCCCCCAGCATCCTACAGCATCCTCAGCCCACAGCGCAGGAGGTGTTGGAAAGCCAGCCAGTGTTTTAGGAGAAATTAAAATCCTGCTGGACCAAAAGGACAGCTGTGGGTTCCTTAATTAAGTATCCAGGAGGAAATAAAATTATTTTTTTTCCCATGGGCAGCCAGCCAGGTTCTCCTGAAGACCTTTTGCACCGCTGAGGCTCCTCAGAATAAAAGGAAATTGGTTCAGCGCCGTGGCTGGGCCGGCGCTGCTTTGCTGTGGCAGGGATGATTTGAAGTCCCGGCTTTAAAGGATATTGGACAATAAAAAACAAGCGCTGTGTGGATTATGTCTGACAAGTGCCTCCACTTGTGCTTTTCTGAGGGAGTAGATAATCTTTTGGCAGCGGGAATTTCTTTGTCTGAGCAAGCCCTGCTGCTACACCGTGGCTCTGACTCACTTACAGTGCCTGAACACTGCAGACTGCTCTGGGATTGTACTTCCATGAGCAATTGGGGATGGAAAACAGCTTCTCCCTAGTGCTGACACTGGGCTGTGTGTCCCACAGATGCTGTAGGTGCAGTAGCACCCAGTGGTCCTCACAGGGTCAGGACTGCCCTGCCTGCATTTACAGTGCTGGAAAATCACTGTCCTGAACTAGCCCCACTCAACAGGTACATCAAATAAAATTTTCAGCATGGATGAATCTGAGGGAAGGGTTTCTGCATTTGCAGCAGGGATTCTCAGCCTGCTTGGAGCAGCTCAGGCTGGTACCAGCTCTACACAGCATTTACCCACCACCCTGGAAAGAGCTGAGGAAAATGAAATTAAATTTAAGTCACAGTTTTCAGCTGAGAAAGGGACGCTAATCAACACCTTTACATTCCCAGACCTCCAGCATGCTGCACCACAGCTGCAGCACCATGAAAGCAGGATCTCTGGTCTTGGACTTAATTCACTCTCTAATTTCCCATCGGTTTTCCCAAATTTAAACCACAGGTATGAGTGCTGCAGGTATAAACTCTCCCGTGTTGGTGTTTTACCTGAATCCCTCTTTGCATGCAGTACATTTGTCTGCTTCACCGACACATTTTTTACAGCTTTGATGACATTTCAGACAGCGTTTCTGACCTTTCAAAAAACAAAGCAAAGCAGGGAGAATAAAATTTGGATGGTGATTTGCAAGCAGCAGTCAGAGCTGCAAAGCCCCACTGAACCCTAGCACCAGCTCCCCAGGGTGGAAAGGCACATCCCTCCCCAACAGATCACTGCTATTGCAGGTGACCTTATCTGTCACCGCTTGCTAAAAAGAAATATGCTTTGCAAGCAGCTAGGGTCATTAATTAGTCTTCTAATTAAGAGCTTTGAGTTGAGCACCTCTGCTTTTCACAACCCTCTGAACACCCAGAGGTTTCCCTCCTCCCTTCACCGAGCAAAGTGTGTCAAGAGGGAAATTCAAAGCCAGCGCTCAAGAATCAAGGTATGTTCTCCACCCATAGCACTTAAAATAGAAGCAACCCCTGCGCATCCTCATGCTGCAACTTGCAAGTGATAAACACCCTTACGTTCCTCGGCGTAGAACCCGGGGGGACACAGCACCACGCAGGTGCCCATCTCAGGGTGGTGGTACAGGTTCCTCTTGCAGGCTGTGCACTGGCTGGGTCCCCTCCCGACGCAGCGCTCGCAGCCCTTGTGGCACCGCCGGCACCTCCGGGCGCCGTTGTCACCAAAAAACCCAGCGGGGCACGAGCTCACACACATCCTGGGGAGGGAAACAGCAGTGCTCAGGCTTTGGTGCCAGCACTGGTCACCTCCTGCCTCAGGAACCCGCCACTGTCACCTCATTCACAGCCTTTGGGGCATCCCCCAGGCTTGGCAGGGATTTGAGCTCGTTTACTTCTTATTCTTGTGGTTTACAGCGTCTTGAAAGTCACAGCTCTAATACAGAGACAGGGACTCTCTTGTCCCAGCTTTAGGTAAAGTTTCCCTGTGCCATCCCAAGAGACTGAGGAGTGGAAACCCCAGTTCCTGAAGTGATTTGGCAGCTCAGCTGGCTGTCCCTTGGGTGTGGGTGACCCCAGTCAGTGAAGCCAAAGCTTCTTCCCCAACATGATTATGTGGCCAGGATCTCCAGGACTCTCCAGCTCCATGTCCTCCACCCCTCTGTACCCTAATTCAGGACAGGGATCCTCATACCTCCTCCTCCACCCATTTAATTTCTCATACACTTATTTCTCTATGCAAACATCTATCACCCACACTAAGCTGTAAGACCTGAGGAAAGGTGCTGCTTGTCACCTGGGGGCCCCATGGAGACACCCCATCACCCCTCACCTGCCAGTTTTCACACTGCCCAGACTGTAGTGGATGCAGTTCAAGCACTGGTCGGCGTTGGGGCCATCGCAGCCCTGGTCACCACACTCGGGGTGGCAAGGACCTGAGGAGGGAGAGACCAGCTCGGTGTGAGAGAAGCTGAGCACCCTCCAGGCACCACTGCCAGGATGCCCTGAGCACACCTTCCCTGGAGCAGTGGACACCTGGACTCTTCCCCCATCTTATTCTATATCTTACATCTATTATATTTTAAATTTTATCCTGTTTATCCTATGGAGCTGCACAGCTTTGGGTGCTTGTCTTTCCTGCAGCTCATCCTTGCCAGAACAAATCCCACCCAGCCATCCTCTGGCTGAACACTGGTTCAGGAGCAGCTTTAAAGAGGGACCTGCTCCTCAGGGAGCAGCAGAGACACCCGCCCCTGCCCAAGCTAGAGGAGGGAAGGTAGACAAAGGAGTTTTTTTTACCCCTCAGACAGCTGCACCACCAATTTGTGGCCGGGACGGGGCATTTTCCTACCTTCTAATTTCACCATCCTGCTGCCCCATGCTGGCCACAGGCATTGCTCCTCCCAGCCTGCCCCAGGCAGGATCAGACCTTGTGGCTCCCCCAGTTTTTATCAGGGTTTTCATTTTCCTGGGTACTCTGGGTAGAACAACGTGGCAGCTCAGGCAGCGCTTACCTGCATACTCCTCCTCCTCCTCTGCCACCTCCACCTGGCTCTGCAGGAGGGCAGCTCTTGATGGCTCCATCTCCGAGGTTGGCACCTCCAGTGACCTCCCCCGGGACTGGGGCCCACTCAGGGCAGTATAGGGGTGCTCTCCTGTCCCGTAGAAGATGAGGCTCCACTCCTTCAGCTTCCCTGTGGGGCAGACACAACATCACCCATCCCGCTCCCTGAATCACCCATCTCTGTGGGACCCATTTCTGGGGGAAGCAGGAAGATGGGCTGGACCATCAGGGTGTCACCGCTGGCACAGCAATGCAGAAGCAAACAGTGAACACCCAGAGATGTTCATGAGCCCCTGAGCTTCCAGCCCACACAAATGCAGTTGTTTAAGGCACTTACAAGGGCTTTTTAATTCCATAACTCATTTAAGGAACTGCAGCATCACCACAGTCTCCGAGTCCAACACTGGAGAGAACCAGTAATTTTAAAAGCTCCACAATAGAGGATTATTTCTGTCTGACAAAAGCCACCTGGCACACACTGGATTATTTCTTGCTGCTGTTGCTCCAGCCATTTCATTGCCTGACATAACAGAAGTCTGAGCTTGGCATCCTCCAAAACACTGTAGTGCACCTGGTGAGACCCCCCTCAAGGCCTTACACCTACACCGAGACCCTCCACGAGCCACACAGCTTTGGGGAAAGAGTCCAAAAATGCTGCTGCTGCTTCTTTCCAAGGCTGTTTTCCTTCCAATTCCCCATCAATGCGAGTCACTTCATGCCCACAGCATGCTCGACTTTAACTCCTAATCCCTATGTTTCCAAGAAGGGCTTAAAATTTGCAATACTCAAATCCTTTGGCTCTCCCAAAGGCATGAGAGGACACACCTGCTGCACTGAGCAGTGCTGGTGTGGAGCTTGCAAAGGGTCAAGCTCTGGCAGCATCAGCTGGGGAAGTTTCACCAAAAGAATTGAATTTGCTTTAAATCTAAAATACCCTGCGTGAGGAAAGACCAGGATACACGGGGCTGATGTGGGGGTGCAGCAGTACCAGTGATGTGACATCCATAGTATTTAATTGATATTAAATTAACATTTAATACCCATTTCTGCTATGAGCTGGGAGCATCTTCCATCTTTTTCTTCTTGCTGTCCCCTCTCTTCTTCAAAACCAGTGCAGACTTTTTGAGGGGATAACTTAATGCACTCATTTTCACTGTGTTTTGCCAAGCCCTGATGCCCGTGAGGGGCTCAGAAACACCCACCACAAACTGTAAATACTGGGGCAAAAGCAGCTCTGTGGGTGCTTTGGTGCTGCTCTCCGAGTTCAAAAGATTTGGGGTGAAGGCAGCAAACAGAAACACCTTCTGTGCAACGCAGCTCCCGCCAGAAAGTAGCGTGGGAGAAATCTTTAATATACTCCTGGCTTCCTATCAATGGTTGTGTGGATTTAACACCCCCACAACACACGGCAGCCCCAGGCAGGATGCCCCCAGCCAGCCAGGCGGCTGCTGCTTCCCAGCGGGGCCGGATCCTGCCCACGGCTCCTGTGCTGGGAAGGGGTCAGGGAGGAGGTGGGGACACAGCAGGGTTGGGGACATGCAGGGGGCCAGGCTGAGCCCAGCCACCCCCCACCAGCATGGTGGCAGTCCAGGGAGGATGTCCATCCGTCTGCTGCCCGAGGGGCATCGTCCCCTTGTGCCTTGCACAACCAAGCCTACATGCCAGATGTCCCAGCAGTGAAGCAAAACAAACAAACAACAATTACAGCTCTTGGGTTTCCTCGTTTTGACTCATTACGGTTTAATTTTGGAAACCTGGCTCTCGGGTGCAGCCAGTTTACTGCTGCTGCAAGAAAACCAGCTTCCAGCTCAGCCAGACCAGCACTCCTGCACTCAGAGCTGCCACTTCATTCCCATTTTTGAAAATCTGGGCAATACAGTTTTGCTGGAGACCATAAAACTCACAGCAAAATTTACAGCCAAGCGAAGCAGCCTACAGAGGGTTTTGGGAGTGAGAGTGAGTGGTGGGCACTGGGGGATCCTTACCTTGCACGGCGGGGTTGCGCACTTGGGACGGCGTGTCGTGGATCTCCAGGGTCCACTCCCCTGCTGCCCGCTCCCCCCAGCAGTGGACAGTCATGAACTCCCAGCCCTTGAAGCCTTCATTGGAGTGGTCAAACACCCTGCAATGGTAGTGCCATGCACCGAGAAATGTAACTTTGAATGTTGTATTTTATCAGAAAATGTAAATAGGTAATTGAGGATTTTAGGGATCCCTGCACGCACACCCCCTTGCACAAAGCTCTCCTGCAACTGAAACCTGTGGATGCTTCCCACCTTCCCCCAAAAACCCGAAGAAACTTACAGCAACCCCCTAAAGGAGGATGCTGCCCAGCCCAGCCACGCTCTCACCTCCTGGCGAGGAGCTGTGACCGTGTCCCTGCTGGAGAGATGAGGCTGATCTGGAGGTCGCCCCGGCGCGGGTGGGCGATGCTGAGCCGCACCACGACGTGCTCCAGGTACAGCACGTGCTGCTCCCGCTGCTCGGCACAGGCGCTGCTCAGGGTGCTGGCACGCAGCACGTGGTCGGCTCGGATGTACCTGCCAGGGACAGTCAGGATGGGGACAGAGTGCCCCTGGCTCCCAGGCATGGGCGCCCTGTTAGGTTTGAACCTGGTCTCCTGCTGCTTCACACCAAAAATTATCTTATCTGCCACTGCAATTCCCAGTGTCCTAGCTCTGGGAATTTGCTGAATTGCTGGATGGTAACGAGATGAGTTTCAAGTGCTTCGAAGATCTATGCCTTATGGGCTGCAAGGGCGCTGCTTTATTATAATTATGAGTGCAGCGCTCCTCTTCGGGCTGTAATTAGTGTCTGTATCAGATAAATAGCTTCATGAGCACACTTGGCTCTGCACTCAGTCCTGTTTTGCATATGCAAGTCCCTAAAAGACTTTTCTGATTAACAACTCTCTTGCTCTACAGCCAGGCATTGGTAAATGAGGATTGTCCACTTGGTCAGATCCCTGATCTCGCTCTTCACCTAGGAGGGACTGACATACCAAGGATGAAATGTGAACCTGAGCCGGATTGAACATGAAGCCAAATTCAAAGAGAATCAAGACATTGGAAATTTGGTAATCTTTGCAACAAATCATCAGATTTTGGTGTCTTCCATCCAGACCAAGTGTTTGGTGTAAGGGCAAAGAGACCAACACATCACTGCTCATGTAGGACCCAGCAGGCGAGGTCTGGGTTTGGTCTCTCACTGTCAGCCCTCAAAAATTCGCTGCTGATCACTTGTCTGGGAACTGAAATCTTGCAAAAGGGAAAAAAAAAATCACTCACTGCCAAAGCTGGCCCTGGAGAGCCCTAATGGGACCAGCCCTTCACTGAGCCATAGGCACAGACCCCACAACACTCACTTGGGCACCCTGTCCAGGCTTCCCACGCAGATGTGCTGGGGAGGAACCATCTTCCACTTCTTGGCTTCCACCACAATAGCGTCAGCATCCACCAGCCCAAAGCCATATAGATGGCTAACTGGAAAGAGAGAAGACTCAGAAACCCTCAGCCTTCCCAGCAGGGATGAGGAGCTCCTCCTCAGTGCTTGGTAGAGCATCCTCCCACCATCAGGGAAGGTGTGGAGTTGACCCCGTTGGGGTATGAGGTGTTTCAGCACATGGAGCTCATCACCCTGGCCAAGTTACACCCCAAATCCACGCTGGCACCATGGAAAACCCATTGCTGGGAGCAGCCCAAGGAAAGTAGCAAGAAGCTCTGCAGCTCAATAAAGTCTCCACAAACAAGTTTTCAAATCTCCACCAAGCAAGAATTCCAAGCACCTCACCTCATGAATTACGGCCCTCTCCTCCCTCCACTTAACAGCCTGAAGGTAAGAACCCCCAATGAACCAGATAGTGGCCACCCATGATGAATTGTCCCCATAAGTGAAGTTCTGGAGACATTTCTTTTCCCTTGGTTGGATGTTCTTGCCCTGCCATCCCCATGGCCTCTCACCTTTATGCCCTGCTCCGTTGGTTTTCCAGTCTGGTGCTCGCAGGTGCCCTGGCCGTGAGGTTTTGACCAGCAGGTGCTGGACGTCCCTCCAGGTGAGCAGGGGGCTGCAATGACACGTGGCTCATGGGGTGGCTCTGCTGTTCCCAGTCCTCCCAGCAGCAGTGAGTTAAAAAACCAAAAAAAAACCCAAAAAACCACACCAGCCCTCCACCCCTCTTTCCTGCTCAAAAAAACCCCAAGAATTGATGTTTTAAATGCTGACACCCTGCCACCACTTGAGGTGCTCCAGCAGAGTGGTGTGCCCAAGGAAAGATGCCACATGCCCATGGGAATAGCAGGATTTACTCCTGGGTAAGGCCATTTAGCTCTCAGGCTCTAGGGTAGAAATGAAGCAAATCAGGAAGGTTTTCCCCATTTTTTGTAGGAGATAGGGAGCAAAGCACATCCTGAGGCAGAACAGTGGGCTCAGGAGCTCATTGATACACAATGCTGAGCAAACCTTCCTTTTGTAGGAATAACAGCAAAAAATTGCTGGAAATAAAACCTGGGTTATTCATTAAACAGAAAAATTAAATCCAAATCACCTCTACCTCCCCAGGCTGGGTTTGTGTGTTCAAAGTGCTGGACACTGAGTGCTCTGTGCTTCTGAGCCCCCTCACGACCCCAGCTCAGGGATATTGCTTGAAAATCTTCCCCGCTTTACTTACAGTCAGTTGTTCAGCATCTCAAGCTGAGATTTATATTGCTCTCGAGCAACATTTAAAGAAAGAAATTCAATTTATTCTCTCTTGTCATAATGGAATGCCTGAGCACCAAGCTCTGGTAGTTAATGTTGCGGTTTATGCTTCAGCTAAACAATACAAAAATTACTTCTAAAGCTTTTAATATATTTGTAATGAAAACGGCGTCTCAGGAAATGCTCTCACCCGACCTGGGTGTTGGGATTAAACCAGAGGAGGAGGAATGGAGCCACAATCACCATCCCTGGATGAGAGTGCAGTGCTGCCCTGAGGCTTATTCTTATTCCCAGCCTTAATTTTATTTCCACTCCATAAAAATAATAATAAGCTCATGAGAAGACACTCCATGAAGCAACACAGGAATGCCCAAGGGCTGTTCCTGGGCTGGGGGACCATGATGAAACCAGGATGGGACTGGGATGGGGACAAGAGGAAAAGATCAGCTCATTTGAACCGGGGGTGTGTCATTGACAATCAAGTTCTGTGAGTTTTTGACATTATGAAAAAGTAGTCTTTTTATCCCAGAAATGCAACACTTGCTGAAAACCATCACTTCTGCTGACATTTCCCAATGTCTGTGATGTTTTCTGATTTTTTTTTCCCAGGAAGTATTTATAAAACTCCAGTTGGAGTTGGCTGTCAGCAGTTTCAATGCACCTACTGAAAAGCCTGACTGATGTGGCCAACTCCAAACTTTTCAACAGAAGGCAACAAATGAAAAATTAGCTCAATAAAACACCTGCAGGAAGATCAGATTCAAAACAACAACAACACCGCCAGAAAGGAGCGAATGAAAATAACTTTGTGTCATTTTGGTCGCTCCAGAGGAAACAAAACCACCTTGTTTCTTTCAGGTTTTGCTCACCAGGTGCTAAATGTGGGGACATTTCTCCTGAGGAGGTTGCACTTACTTTGCCTCCAAGGCCAGGGCGATGATGCCCGCGACCATCGGGGCGGACACGGAGGTGCCGGTGTGGCCGTCGGTGCAGCGGTGCCGGAGATCCGTGGTGACCTGTGCAGACAGGAGCTGCAGCCCCCAAAATGCTCCCAGCAGCACCCCAGATTTGCTTGGGATGCTGCCAGAGAGGAGATGAGCCTGCTGGTACTCAACCTGCCACGACCCCAATGCCATTGGGGGACACAGAGCCCCAAAAATGGATTGCAGGTACATTTGGTGCATGAGAAAATATTTCTGTACTTATATTTTCCTTTGCTCAAAAATGCAAAAACTATCTGAAAGGGGAAAAAAACCCATTTGGCTGTGGATCAGCTGGAGGAAAAGGTTGAGGGAGTGGTGTGTGCTGGTGTGGGTACAGGTCCAGGGGTGCATGTTGAGCTGGGCCATATTAAACACTTTCCTTAAAGCCTCCACCTCCTGATCTTGGACAAGAATTGCCATTTGCACATGGAAAAAAAAAGCCATTTCCAGTTTTTTTAAGACAGAGCATGATGTTTGGTTACCAAAAATTTGGAGGGGAGGTGGGGGGCCAAGAGATGTTTTTTCTCATTTTAAAAGGTTCCTAAGTTTTGAGTTAATCTGGTGATTTCTGGATGGGAAGCTGGTTTGGGTTTTTGCCCAACAGTGCTCCAATAGTACTGGGCTGGGGTTGGCCTCAGCCATGCAAACACCCCTGGAGTGCCATGAACATGGCACTTGTGTTCTGTTTTCTGGATAGAAATTAATCTTTTGGGGGTCAAATAAATCACCCCTCAATACAAAAAAAATTTATTTACTTGTTAAAGAAAAAACCAAAACACACACAATTTTTGGTCAGAAGACCTCACTTGTGTGGCAAACTCCCTCCCCAGGCTGGGTAAGGTGCTGTGTTGGTGGGAGATGTTTTACTTCCCAAGGTTGAGATGATGCACAGGGATGTCAATAATAACCAGTCATGGTGTGACCAGGCCACAGCAGCTGTTGGGACAGGGCAAACATAGCCTGGGTGGCAGGGAAAACTGCACTGATCCACATGTGCACACACTTTCAGGCAGCTCCTTGGCTCCAGAAAGTCTCAGTTCCCAGTTTGGGGTGGCCACATCCCTGTTAAATGCATGCATCCCCCCTCTTTTTTCTCTATCAGGCTAAAAATCCTAAAATTCACTTCTTTTTTTTTTTTTAACAAGATACAGTGAGCAAGTACTTTGGGGAACAGGTAAATATTTACATGGGAATTTTTGCAAACCTCCAGCCCTTTCACCCATTTACCAGGGAAAACACAACATCCTTGGGCAAAAACCAGAGCAAAATCCCACTGCAGAGCTTAGGACAAAGCCTAGCTCATCCAACTGAGCCATCACCCAGCCCAGCCATACAGAAAACACCCAGGGGAAGCTGCCTCACCCGATGTTGGGGTAAAACTCACAATTTTTCGCTCATAAAATGCCCCGCTGCTGTAGGTGGTGGCGAGGGTGGAGGCACATTCCTCCAGGTACCAGGGCTTGTAGCCATTCTCAGTGGTGCTGCTGATGGAGATGGTGTAGATGCTGTTGGTGTAGCCATCACAGGAGCAGTAATCGCCCTCTCTGCCGCCGTTCCCCGATGCCCAGACAAAAATGGACCCCAGTCCCCTGCGACCCTGTGGGCACAGAGGGGATGGAGGGTTAGAGGAGGTGTTTGCCCAGAAGGAGAGGCCATCTAGGCAGGGAGGAAGGGGTAAATCTGATTTTTGAGGGTTTGTTTAGGTGGAAGGAGGGGTCCCACCCTGCCCAGCACTCAGCCCCCTGTATCACTCCCCACGCGTGTCCTTTGGGTCAGTCGGTTCCAGTTTACAGACAGTGATTCCCCAAAAGGATGGGAGAGCCTCCAGCAACAGGGTTTTGGCATTTTCCATAAGGAAAAATATCTCAGGTATTTAAAGTCCCTGGACCAGGTGCTGACACAGAGCATGGTGCTTTTAAGGATGGCTCTGCAGGAGGAACTGGCAGGGAACCCCCAAACCCCAAATCTCCCACAAAGCCACTCATGAACCACCCAAACAACCAGAAATCTTCTCCCAGCCTATCCTTTAGGTTTCTTTTGCTTGTCTTTTACTTTTTAAATCCCACCCTTTTCTCCCCTCCCCATCACTTGGCTGGAATATCTGATGGAGCCATCCCCACTGGGTACAGCTGTGGGAACACTGGGAATTGGGGGGTGGGAGGGGTGTGCCTGCTGCCCAGACCCCCCTGGAGCCAGGGGAAAATCCCACCTGGCAGCAGCAGCCATGGTGCCAACAAGGGGTCCCTAAAGAAGCCAACACCACAGGAATTACCCCATTCACCCCTCCATCCAACCCAACTGCCAGACACCCAGGAATAACCCAGCCCTGCAGGGGTTCACAAGCAAGGTGCCGACATCCCAAGAAGGAGGATTTTGGGTGATCCAAAAGGGTTAGGGGCAGGAAATGAAGTGGCTGGGTCTCTTCTGAGCCCCATAAGGCAGGGCTCTCTGGGGAGGATGGAGAGCTGCCGGGCTTGGCAGGCGATGGAAGCAGAGGAGCAGCCCCATCCTCCCCGGGGCTGCTCCTGCCACGGGGAGATTTCAGCGCTCGCCTGGGCAGATCTGGTGTTTACCTCCCTCCCACTGCTCTGTGGCAGCTTCCCCCACAAAAAATAATAGTAACAATAATAATAATAATAAAGCAGCTTTGCTCTGGAGGAATTCACCAGGATTTATTGTGGGCTTTAGGCGCCGGGGGGAGCAGGATGGTTTATTACCTGTCTCACCCCCTCCTGGGGCAGAGGCTCTCTGAGCTGACCCTGCCTCTGGATACACAGTCTAAGTCTTTCCTTACTTTATGAAAGTTTTCATTATCTGGGCTGCCTCCCAGCCAAACTGGGTGGGTATTTCCCTAGCAAAGATTAATAGAGCTATCTGGAGCTCTGCAAGAAAAAGCACAACTGCCAAGGGAATTTCTGCCCTGCTCCACGTCATGGAGTGCTTGCCAGCCCACCAAGCCTGCTGCTGGCATCTCCCATCCCACTCTCCAGGGTTTCCTGGATCTCCAAGGAGGCAGTATCCCAGCCCACATGCTCGGCGCAGACAGTGACTGTCCAGCTCACCCACACCAAAGTCAAAACACCTCCAAGGATGGGTCCCACTGCATGTAACCCAAGCTTACCCAAATCACTAATCAGAGGAATAAAACCAGACACAATTGACGAAGCATCTGGAGATGTAGCAATGATTTTGTTTGGGATCAGAAGACTGAGAGCCCAGACCTCCCTTTCATCCTTTGCCCCGAGCATCACACCCACAAGACCCAAGAAAGGCTCAGACCTGCTCCAAACCCACATCCCCACGATGCCCAGGCAGGGCTGCACTGGGGGAAAGTGGGTTTGGAGACAGCACAGTCACATGAGGACATGAACAGGCACATGAATGACACTACAGCAATGCACAGCTAACACCTGGCAGCATTTCCTGGCAGAGTAAGATCTCACCACATATTGCAGCTCCCTCGGATTGGAAAAATCCATTCTTTCCCTTTGCTCTCAAACAAGGAACAATCAAGATTTCTGTAAGCAGACCCCAAACATCAGCTTCTTAATTTGCCATCCTCCTAAGCCAGTGCAATGCCAGTGAGGGGCTCCTGGCTGCTATAAAACCTGAATCTGGGCATCATTTAAACCAGGGAATTCCTCCCTGGCCAAGATGAGGCTGATCCAGCTCACCCCAGCAGCACATGGGTTGGCTGTTGGATGCACAGCATCTCCTGCTTCCGCAGCACTGCAGGGCCTGGGTGTTTGCCCAACAGCACTCCATGAATGACCAGGATAAATATCCCCTCGTTAGCTTGAGAACTAATAAAGTGTGGCTGGAGGAACAAGAAACAAGATGATAAATTACCCCAGCGCAGTCCTATCGCTAATAGATAAAGGTTATTTTAATGTTTCCATTAAAAACTCAATTTTAAGGATTTATAACTCGGTTACAGCTGTTTGCTTGGGCTAAAGGTGGTGGTTAACTATCTGCTTGCAGCTTTCCTCCTTATTTAAGGAGATGGAGTTGGCAATTATGAGCTGTGCATGTGGGATAGTGGGTGCTGCAAACACAGGGTGGCAGTGGGGGGACCGAGGTGTCCCCTGGGAGGCAAAAATAAGCATCCTAGGACAGTGGGGCTGTGCTAGGCAAGTACCCTGCTGCTGCCTGTTTGCTCCTGCATGGAAAAATAAGGTCTAAAAAGCAGCTTGTTCCCCCGTATTTACACGGCGTGAACTCCCTGGCACTTCAATGGATTCCTCGGCAGGCTCACCGCCCCAGCAGGAAATCAAGTAAACAGTGGGAAAAACACTCCACCCTATTTTTAGATAAGAGGCCACCCCAACTTCTGGCACGCTGCAGGAAGAGGCAGCAGAGGAAGGAGTGGTGGCAGAGGTTGAAGTGGGGGCTTCACAGCCCAGCCTGGGGCTGCTGGCAAAGGAACCCCACCCCCAGATTCTCTGGAACACCCAGGGAACAGCCACTGTGGAGCCCTGAGCCACTGCAGCACCTACCCATGGTGCCCACTGAGCTGCCAAAAAGGCCTTTTTCCCAATGCTTTCAGCCAATATTGGGCACTTTTTAAAAGTACCCAAAAAGGGAAGTGATGCAGGAAGGCCAGGGCATCCCCAGCAGGGATTGACAGTGATGTTTGTGGCTGAATTTTCTTACTGGAGGATCTCAAGGACAACAATCCATTGTCAGATCCTGTGGCAACACCCATGTCCCTCCCCAGCCATGACACAGCCACTTGTTCTGGGTGGAAAACCAGGGGAATGAAGAAGTCCCTGGGAGAGAATACCAGGAGCCCAAGGAGCATGGAGAGGGTTGGACATACTGGGATTTGGGATACTGCTGTTTCCATCCACACCAGCATCCAGGGGGGACATTTTGGGGTGCAAAGTTACCCCCCCAAGAACTGCTTTGAGTTTCTCATCCCGGCAGAGCTTTGCTACACAACCTGGGGCCTCCCTGCTCTGCCGGGGGGTCCCACCATCACCAGGCACCTCCCGCCATCACCACCCTCAGCCACCAAATCCACCGGAGCTCTTAGGAATGCCAGGGAAAACTAGGAAAAATTAGAGATGATTGGCTCCCCCCCGCCCCAGCCCTAGTGCTGGCTTCACCTTTAGGGGGGCCGAGCTGCCCATTCCCACACCAGACCCCGGGCCAGCCATGGCCCTTCCCACGGGACAGGAGGAGGAGGGCGAGCGTGTCTGGGCGCTGTGGGATCCACACCTTTTTAATGCCTTGCTCAAAAGCCTGCTTGGCCAATAGACCAGGTCCATCAACTGTCTTCCCATCATCATCTGGCCCCCAGCTCGCGCTGTAAATGTCAATGTAATCGGGTCTGATGCCAAGCGACTTCGCTTCAACAACATCTGTTACATCTCCATCTAACATACGAATGCCTAAAAGCACAAAAACATCAGACATTAGGGCTTCATGGCGTGGATGACAGTGTGAGGGTTGCAATCAAAGGGCTTTGTTAACGGCGGCGGAAACCACATGGCCCAGGCGCTCCTGGAATAGCTTCAACCCGTGGCCCTGCATGCCAACAAGCCTGGCAGCAGGATGCTGGGGAGCTATGGGGGAACTTTTTCATGTTGCTGGATTCATGGCAAGTGATGGAGAAGAGGGTGTTAAAATTCACTTTCCCTCCACTGGTGGGGAATGGGTGGTGGTAGTGGTACTGCACTCCCCAGTGAAAAAATCCCCCCACTAAAATCCTCTTTTGTCCCCTTTTGATCTCTTAGTGAGCATATTTCTCCACCTGGAAGATTTTGGTGTTTCCTGAACACTCATGCCCCTCAGCTTCAGGCACACTGATAGGATGATGCCTATCCCCTCACGTGGGGATGACTGTGACTGTCCCTAAACCCCATCACTGCCCAGCTGAGGCCAGCGGTTCCCTGGAGAGGGAAAAGCCCCAGGAAAAACACCAGGCTGTGGTTTGTATGGCCAAAATCAGAGCCAGAACCCCAACACATGGTGGGACAACACCACCACTGGGATAACTCTCACTTCCAGCTGGGAATGCCAGCAGCTACCAGTCAGGTAGCTCTGTCAGGATGCTCCCAGGCAGAGCCAACCAGCCATGGTGGGATGGGCTGGGGGATTGCTGCACATCCCCAGCCTCTGACTGCTGCAATATGGAAGCACAACCCCTCTGCTCTCCATCACCCTTTCCCTGCTGGATTTCCTCTCCACACAGTGAATAGAGGGTGCCAAGCACCCTTACAGGCTGCTCAGAAACAGCCCTTGCAGGAAAAGCGATGCTGGAAACTTCAGCATCGTATTTTGTCAGCCAAGGAAAGTCTGGTTTATGAAAATGCATTTCCCCTTCCACATGTATTTTGTCTTAAAGCAAACAAATGCGGGCAGATGTCATTCCAGCTGCAGCTGCACTCTGGACACCAGTCAACTCAAATATCTCCTTCTGACGGTGTCCCCAACCAGCCAAAACCGAGTTTAGAAATGTAAAATCAGGGAGCAGAGCTGTTCCCAAAAAATTCCTCTTTGTCAACAAGAAAACACAAGGAGAAGGGGCGAAAAGCCAAGCCCAGTGTCTGAGCTGCACACAGCAAGGAAAATCAGCTGAAGGATGGGTTTTGTGCTTGCTGTATGTGGCTGTTTTCATCAGCAAGCTCAAAATCAGCCTAAAGTCAACTCAAAGCCAACCCAAAGCCTGCCCAGAGAAAGCCACCCACAATGAGGGCCTCCTTGGTCAAATAATGGGGAGAAGGAGGGCACAGGGGTGGGTGCTGCAAAATAAATGAGCTTTGTGTCACACAGGGAGCAACACCAACCTCCAAAGCGAGCATTTGCAGACAGGGAAGAAGAGGAGAAATGGCAGGAGCCCTTTCCTTGAGCAGTGATGTGTTTTGCCCAGGGCATATGAAAAGCAATGCAAGAGCACTGAAGAGCAGCCAGTAAAATTAGATGGGAGCTCTCCAAGTGTGACAAATAGGCTTCCCCAACAAGTTGTGCTCATTAATCGCTGCTTTATTTGTGTAATCCATCTAAAATCACTCTCACTGCAGTTATAGCGTATTTTCCTCCATGATCCCAAACTTGATACGGCTCAGACTCTATTTTTCCCCTTTGCCTGCTCACGTTGTGGGAAGCCCCCAGCCCCCAGCCCTCTGCCAGGTGCCTTGTCTCACTCAACACCTCCCCAGCACACCCCTGAGGCAAGGCACTCGTTAAAGGGAGCAAATTAAAACGAGACCCAGAGGTCGTCATAAAGTCAACAAGGAACTCTCATCTCCACAGCTGCTGTACAGAAAGGAGCATGAAGGGAATAGCCTGATCCTGCAGGATCCAATAAATCCCACCATGAGCTTTGCCTCGCTCTGCTGCTGCTTGCTGTGTGCTTGGAGATGGGTTTTTAGAGGCAAGAAGCCTCTAAGAAGCAAGAAGCCATCACACATGTAGGGAGCACAGGAGATGGGATGGGATGATGTGCCATAGCCCTTACAGCCCTACCAGCCCACTCTTCACCCTCCCTGAGGGTTATTTATTTCTTCCCTCTGGGGATTTTCCCAGCAGAGACAACCACAGGAGGTACTTGGCCAAGAGCAAGATCCCTATGGACACTGCTCCCATGCAGACACAACCCTGACAAAAGCTGTTGCCTGCACAGCCAGGATGAATAAGCCAAAAGAAGGAATTAAATCCCGAATCCACCCGTGGGCACTTGGGTCCATGCTGCTGGCTGCCACTTCTCCCAACACTGGGGTGGTAGGAGGGGCTGCAGGAAAAGCCCTTCTCCTGTTCCAGCCATGCCAGGAATGGGGCTGAAGGCTGAAAGAAGCCAGCTCCAGGCATTTGTCCTCTACATGGTTTCACCAGCCATGTAGTTGGGACAGCACACTCCCACCTCTGCTGGCACCCTCATCTCCCCAGGGTTGCCTGGGTTGGCCAGAACTGCCTCAGCTCAAACCAGCTTGGCTAATGCAAATGAACTCAGCAATTCTAATTAGCGCTAGGATCCAATTTGGTGATAAGAGATTCATTTGCTTTCCACACATGTTATTTGAGGGGCTGTGCAGAAGATCCTCCTGATATGTATCTCTGGCCCCTCACCTTGTTTTTTTTCCCCCGAGAGTATTTCTGGGGTTCTCCCCAGGCCCCCTGCTCTGAGCGGCTCCTCAGCATCCCCTGACCCCACAAACGAGTTATATCAGCTCTGAACCTCAGCCAGCACCACTGACCACAGCAAACACAGCCACCCTAAGGACAGACCCCCTAGAGCAGTTATGGACTTCTGGGGTGAAAACACATCCTCAATCCACATGCACCCTCACAGCAAGGATGCAGCCCAAGCAGAAAGTTTCCACCCTAAGTACATGGAGCCAGAGTCCCCTGCATACCATATCCCCCCAACACCCCTGGGGCTCCCTGCAGCCAAGGCACCAAGGGGGAGACTCTCTCCTGGGGGAGCAGCACCCCACCTCTCCCCCAGGAGCCGGTTAGTGTGACCAGGGTGGCCTCGGGGGGATGGTGAAGGGCAGGGGAGCCACGGAGGTGCCAGGCTCACCTCCGATGCGGGCGTTGTAGGCGATGCCCACGATGCAGTAGGAATTGTTCGCCGCCGCCGCCACCTCCCCCGCGCAGCGAGTGCCGTGCCTGCAAGGAGAAACCCCCATCAGCTGATGGCCATGGCTAAGGATGCCTCCAGCCACGCCCCACCCAGCACCCAAAAACAGCCCCAAGGCTGGAGCAGAGGAAGAAGCTGTCCTTACCCAAAACCCACACCAAATGGGTGGAGGAAACTAATGCTGAAAGCAATTTGCTGTTTGCATTTTGCACCTAAATCCAATCTGCTGTTTGCATTTTACACCTTGATGCAACTTCCTCTTTGCATTTTGCACCTAAATGCAACTTCCTCTTTGCATCTTGCATCTCTGCAAGATGCTGCTCTTTGCATTCCTGTTTCCTTTCCACCTGTAACCATCCCACTTTAACTGAAGCCCAAAAAATGCATCCGGGCTTTGCCATCTCAGCCATCCATCCTGACTCATGTGGTTCAACCCCCAGCCAGGGTAAGGAACCCTCTGGTGCTGTACTGGGTGGCTGGAGGATTAATTAGCAATTAATGGGGTTGGCACTGGCTGAATTTGCATTGAACACAAGGACTCTGTGCAAAGCCCTTAACACAGGCCCCTCCACAGCCCTGGGAATGGGGAAAGGGATTTGGAAGACACCCCAGAGGGGACACCCAGCTTCATAGACACCCCCAGACCCCTTGCTCCATTACAATTATCATTACATACTTGTTCTCGTTGCTGGCATCGTAGCGTGGAGTTGGGTCGTGGTCATTCCCATTAACATCATAGCTTGCAAGAGGGTCCTGAAAATATTAGATTCACCATTAGATTCAACTTACTAGGTGGTTGTGGTTGTCAGTAGCTGCAGTGATGGCCAGTGCAGCCAAGCAGAGCAGAAAATTACATTTTCCCCTTAGTTTCTGATTGTTTGCTCAGAATAAATAGTTTTAGGCTGCAGTCCTGCGTGTTTCCCAGGGGAAATATCCTGCTACCTCAGGAACTGCTCCTCTGAACCCCAAATCCTGCTGGGTTCAGCACCCCACTCCCTCCCACTGTGGCCATGTGGGGTTTGAGCTGGGGCTAAACGGGTTCATGCAGGTTTTTGGCTCTGCCCTAGTGAGCAGAGGGAGGAGGCTGCTTCCCAAGCAGCTGCAAAGGGAGTTTCCCCCAAACCTCCTTATCTAAAAACCTCATTTCCTTCTTAAAAACATCTCAAGATTGTTTTGTTTTTTAAAAAAAACAACCCTCTCTTCTAAATATGCCAATGCACAGACTTCAGCTGTGTTTACACACTGAAATTCTCCATAAATCAATTCACGGTGAGGATCAGCCCCAGTCCATCCCGTCCATCCCCCAGCTCACATAGTTTTGCAGGAGGTCGGGGTGGTTCCTCTCTATGCCATCATCCAGGATGGTGACCACCACGTTCTTGCCCGTGTAGCCCCTCTGCCAGGCTGCCAGGATGTTCATCTCCGACCTGCACCGACTGTTTTTATCACCGCAGTGCTAAGGGGACAAACACAGCTGCAAAAGGGCTGCAACCCCATTCCAGCCCATCTAAGCAAACAGCCAGGCTGGGAGCTCATTTAATCAACCAGAAAATATATTTACAACCCACCCCCTGCCATATAACTTGCAGATTTGTTATAACTTTACTCCACAGATCAAACCCATCCAGCAGCAGTTAATCCAGGCAATGCTATCTCCCTATTATTCTTTTCCTCTTCCATTTCAAGTACTATGGGCTCTTGGGTTTTGAACTGCTCACTTCCTTTCCACCCTTAATTTTCAATGAATTTCCCTGTCAAATACAGATCGATGAAGCAGGCAGGAGAAAAATTGTATTACAAATAGATGGCTGCAGTTCTGGGATGAGTAAAATACAGCGGTGCTGTTCCCAAACCTTTGCTGTGCAGACCATGATGAGAGGCTGCTAACAAGGCTGAAACACTTCAAACCAAACTCTCAGGGGTATTAATTCACAGTTTTAAAATCCTGCTGCCAAGCACATTTGATGCTATTATTTCATTACTGGCTGAGCTGAGCAAAGACTGATTATGCATTTGCTTAGAAATAAATGACCCCCCCCCTAAAGCGGTGACAGGGAGACACCCACCAGGTACCACATGTTGGGCCACACTGGGTCGTTGAAGGGCAGGGCATGTGGCTCCCCTCGGACCTGCCTCTTCACCCTTCTCTTCACCTCCTGTTGCTGCAGCCAGTCCACCTGCAAGCAGAGACCCGGGTCAGCATCATTCATGGGCACTAAGCCTGGCACTGCCCACTGAAATGTGGGATGCAGAAGCAATGCCAGCCTCAGCCTGAACCCATTCCAGCATCACCCCATGCTCTGGCAAACCCCCATCTCCGTGGCCAGAGCTGCTGTGCAGACAGCAGCTCTGTTTGGAAGGAGACAGGACGGATGGACGGACAGACAGGGTGAGCTCAGCTCGTTGTGCTGTCTAAGCCAGACCAGATTCCTCTTCCAGTGCAGCAAAACCCTGGAGCACAAAAACGTCGCCTCCAGCGCGTGCCTGAACTCCCCCTGGCTTAGCAAAGCACAGAAGCACGCGCTGGAGACAGACCACATATTTCAGCGTTTAGTCAAAGTTTTGGAGAAGACTCAGGTGCTTGGCTTAGTTTTTGGGCTGATCCTTCCTGTTGGCTGGGAGGCAGCAGCTCAGCCCTGGGGCTGCTCCACCTGGCTCCAGGGCTGCTCATCCTTTGAGCTCCTTCCTCCTGATAAAATTATAAAAACTGGGGGCTTCACCCAAGCACAACACGCATTTCCCAAAAATATGTCATGGCCACACACGGCTGTAGCAGATCCCAGGGGATGTGGCCAGCTCCACACAAGTATTTTTGGCAGTGGCTGCATGTGAGGTGGCCTTGGAGCCGACCACTCTGACATTTGTTTGCTTTCCAGCAGGGCATGACACGCAGAGAGATCAAACGGGAAATGATCTGGAAAAGGGCATGATTGGGAAATGCTGGTGTTTGCCCACGGTGCTGTGGCAGGAGCTGCCTAAGGTGCTGCTTTGGACGCAGTCACATCCCATTCCCATCAAGCATTAACCACCCCCCAGACCCTTTATTGCCACACAAAGGGGTTTCCTGCCTTTGTGGAGGTGAAACACAAGTTTAGCAAAAAAAAAGGTTATAGAAGTAATTTATAGACCAAATCTTTACAGATGTTCATGCTGGGGAAGAAAGCAAGCACCAGCCAATGAACTATGAGGGCTGTGTGACACATCCCTCTTTGCTGGACACTTTTTTCCTGATGACTCCAAGTCTTTTGGGAGCTGCTCATGGGGATGTCTCTATTGTTGTGAGTAAGGTTTTGTAACAAAAGGAATAAAAATACGAAGTGCAACTTTTGTTGAGTTCATTTATGTAAAACTGTCAGCTGAACTGAGTTCTTGCACAGTTTATTGCTTTGTGCCTCGGATGGAGGTGGATGTCAGAAACCCGACAGCTTCCAGCCTAGAGCTTGCGTTTTTAAACACATATATATTATAAAGAAAAAAACCACTGTTGAAAGGGGAAAAAAAGAAAAAAATGTATTTCATAGAAAAATGATTTTCCACGCTGCCTTGGCTGCCGAGAGTACACCGCTTTGCTTACACAGTGATGGATTTAAACACTGGAAGCAAAAATATAACTTCATGGTCTAGTTAAAAAAAAATAAAAATACACTAAATAGAGGTTATGGCCCAAATAACGGGCTTTTTTCCTTAAAGCACCACTCCCTGGCAACATTTCCATGAGTCTCCCTGCCCAAGCCACAGCTACCACCTTCCCCTGCTGCTTTGCAGGATGCAGGAATGATGGTAAGGCGTGGGATTTTGGGGGTTTTTTGCCAGGAGCTGCCTCACAGGGATGTCTTCATCTCAAACAGACTCCTGATCGACCCCAGCACTGCCAGCCAGGAGTCAATGGAGATGTCGTGCATGGACACAGAGAAATCAGCAGTTTAAGGGCATTGATTTCAAGGAAGGGTTGATAAATCAATGCGGCTGGCATGGGAAAATGGGCAAGCAGGATGGAGTCTGGGGCATCCCTGCAACAGCTCCTGCAGCTCATGAAACTCAGATCAACTTTCATTGCTGATTCAGGGTGGGGGAAAAGCTTCCTGGAAATGTAAAAAAAATTTAAAAAATAAAAAGAATGGCTTTTTACTACTAGAAATGGCCCACACTCTTACAGTCCTGAGACCCAGGGTCCCTGCTCTACTCCTGCAAATCCTAATTAGTGCAGAATCACAGACTGGTTTGGGTTGGGGGAGACCTTAAAGCTCATCTCATTCCAAATCTTCTGCCATGGACAGGGACACCTTCCACTAGACCAGGTTGCTCCAAGCCCCATCCAACCTGGCCTTGAACACTTCAAGGGATGGGACAACCACAGCTTCTCTTGGTAATCTGTGCCAGAACCTCACAACCTTTGCAGCCACGAATTTATTCCTAGTATCTCATCTTACCCTGCCATCTGTCAGTGTGAAGCTGTTCTCCCTCATCCTGACACTCCAGGCCTTCATCCAAAGTCCCTCTCCAGCTCTCCTGGAGCTCCTTTAGGTACTGGCAGCAGTTAGCAATAAGGAGGTGACTGACTGGCACCAAAGACCCCATGAGGAAGCAGCACAGGCAGCCCCAAACAGAACCCTTCACCCTTGCTGGAAACACAGCAGGAGCTTTTCATGCTTCCCCATCCCTTTGAAATTTCAGTGGATGAGGCCTGGAGCTGGCCAGCCTGGGAAGCTCCACCAAACACAATAACCAGCACACGTGAGGGTGCAATTCCCTTTGCAGCTCCAGAAAAGTGATAGTCTGACTTATCCCAGTGGGTGTGCAGGAGTTAAAGATCCAGGATAGACAAGATGGTTCCAGCACACGTTTGCCATAAAGCACAGCAAATAATTCAGATGGGGTTTTTGCCGTGGTGCATGGCCAGAGGCACAGGGACAAAGGCCATGGCATCCCCCGATGAGGATTAAGAGACTGGAGCAGTGAGGATGGAGGCTCAAGCACTGCATGGACCAACACGAGCATTCCAGTGAGCCAGGAAAGTTTATGGCAATAAGAGCTGCAAGTGGAGCCCTAAGAGGGGTGGCACAGCATGGTGTGACCCCACTCTGCATCCCACTGTCCCTCCCCAGCTTCCACCACTATGACGTGTCCCAGAAATTGCTGGATTTGCTGCATCCTTCCTCCCTCTCCATCACCTGACACATCTCTTGGCTCATCAGCCCCAGAAAGAGCAGCCAGCTGCAGGGTCTCTTGGGGCAGCAGGGCAGCTCAGTAGCAGTGTGGTCACACAAGGATCAGGACCCCCAGTTCCTTCCCTGTGTGTCCTGGAGTCTCCCCTTTCCCAGATTTCTCCTGGGAGTGGAGAGCTTGGCTGTGGTCCTCCGGCCCAGCTCATGCCACAGACCCCCACAGCAAACAAATAACAGCACTGGAAACAATAGCCCCCAGAAGGCATGAACCACCCAACATCTGCAAACAACTGGATTGGCTGGTTCCTCAGGATTTCTGCAAGATTTGTTTCCATCTTCCCAATTCCAGCTCCTGTCCTGTGCCTTGAGGTGATGTTTTCCTGCATACATGCTAAGCTGGTGCCATCCAAATGGATCACTTTTGATTTGTAAATGTACATGGAAGAGGGGGAGAGACAAGACATGCCAACAGGATTTGAACTGATAAGGAAGGATTAAGAGAACAGGAGTTAATTGCTCCAGCTTGGAGCCCACAGAGCTCCAAGGTAAGGTAAAGGTTAATATGACTAAAAAGCCAATTGATTTAGTTTGCATTATAACCAGACTCATTTAAATGGGGGCATTTCAAATGCAGAGAATTTGCCGGGATGCCTATGCACCCCCCTGAGGGCGAACAGCTTTAATTAAAGCCCAGCACACTTCCAGGGCACCAGGCTCCCTTTGCTGAGGTTTCCCCCCGCTGGCAACGCAGGCAGCCACGCATAGGCCATCTCCTCAAAAATGTGCTACAGACCTTGTCCAAATATTTAACAGCAAATCTCTCCGGATAGCCTGGGGAGAGCAGGGCTGCTGTGTGTGTCTGGAGATGTGGATGGGATGTGGGTTGGAACTGTCTTGGGAAAGAGCACCCCAAGGATGCTCAGGCACCAGCAGCTTGCTACAGCATGGGTACCTTCACTAAAATGGCTTTTTCTGTTTTCATGTTCACCTCTCCCAAATAGGCCCTTCCCACCATTAACTCTTCCCCTGTTCTGCATAAGTCACATCTCACAGTGCTCAGGAGGAGCTGGGGGAGGAGGACAGCCAAAGGGGAGCCCCAACCCTTCCCCATCACTCCAAAACCAGCTAGCTCAGGTCCCTCCTAGCCTTCTTCCCCCCCTACCCATTGCTTTTGTCAATTCAGCTGCGCTGAAAATCCCTTTGGATGCTCTGCTCTAGGAAAAAAGCAATGCAGAGCTATTGCCAAGGATTTCACACATAGCAACCATTGAGGCAGCAAGTGTTGTGGCAACTGGATCAACACCCCGAGCATGCAACAGCCTTTCAGTCCTGGAAAGCTTTTCCCTCTTTTCTTCCTCCCAGCTTTCAGGCAGATGTTAGTGTTTAGTCACTTTTACGTATTTTTCACCACCGCTCTCTGTACCCATGTCCAATGAGTCACTCGTGTGTGCACAGGGCTGTGGCTCAAGGGTAACATGTCATCCCAAGATGTTCCAGCTCACACTTGACCCAGATCAAGTCAACAGCCTTCTCCAGGGACAGGTGAGGACCTCCATCTCACCACCCTGCAGAGGCTGGGGGACACCAGGGTGCCCAGCCCTGTACCTTGGGGTCCATGCGGAGGAAGTTGTGCGGTCCCCGGCTGCTCAGCGTGGAGCGCTTAAATGTCTTGCTGTGGTGAAAGTGGTAGTAGTTTTCCAAGCTTCCAATCTGCAAAATAAAGAGGTTGTTTGGGTTTAGGTTTTTTTTAAAGTCTGTTTTCCCCATTTTGTACTGGCAGCATCAGTGTAGCCGTGCCCTGCACCCCAAATCCCTCACTCCCACAGAGCTCCCGGGGCTCAGGAGGATGCAGGATGCTGGCACAAGCCCCAGTGCCACTGCTGTGACAAACAGCGTTGGTGGTCAGACGCTACACTGGCACAACAGAGCCCGGAAAACATTTTTATGAATTTTCACCCATTAAATGCATCTTTGAAAACTGCCTTTCATCAGCTCCCAAGCAGAAATAATGAGCTAAAAATGAGCTCAGCAGCTGCAGCGCAGTCAGGGGAGCTGTGCCTCATCCTCCTGCCTTCTCCGCCCGACGCTCTGGCTTCGCCCTGGCTGCACATAAGGAGAGGTGATGCGATCCCTGCTCGCCCTGGGATGCTCCTGGGAAGCATGGGATATGTGTGCCTGGAGTGAGGGATGGCATGGGATATGAGTGTGCATAGCCTGGAGTGAGGGATGGCAGCATTTGCAGGAAAACATGGTGCCAGCCACACCACCCTGCCAAGCCCTGGGGTGGCTGCGCTGCCTCTGGCCTTCTCATCCTGGCATCTGAAGACACCACAACTCCTCTTTTTTCATCTCAAAAGCACGGATAAAGTCCTGGGGCTATGCAATGAATCAAGGGATCTCAGCCAGACACCGCATGCAAACATCCCATGGGGATTCACAGCCAGAGGGACGGGAGGGAATGACCCAAAAGCTGTGCTCACTGGTATGTGGCTCCCAGATCACATAATTTGGGTACAAATTGGGACTTTGCTATAAATTCACTTGTGGCAGAGTTTGGTTTTCTTTTTTTTCCTCCCCCCGCCAAAAAACTCCACATTCTATGTCAGGAGCTGGATGTTGGGAGCCACTGACAGTCTCTGTATCTTGCTCACAGGACCAGAAAAGGCCATCCTACAAGCACCCATCTGCAGCCCATGAGGCAACATCTTTAAGACCATGTGTGACCCAGGGGCCAGGGTGACATTCCTGAGGCCAGACCAGGGCTGGTTGCAATGGAACAGCAGGGAACAAACAGGTTTGTCTGGATCAGATGCTAAAGCAGATGACAACTACTTACATCTTTATCACACTTGATACCTTGAGATCTGCCAGTGTCTCTTACAAGCATTAAATATTTAATTAGTCTTGCTCTGCCTTTTATGCCAGGATGTCATTTCACCAACTTTACTACTGTTAGTGTGATTTTTATAATTTATTTCCACTCAAATTCATTTAAACTCTCCCTCTTCCCCCTTCACATTACAGCATAGCTGGGCATTTTCTTTAACATCCGCATAAAGAGGTTGCTCACTGTAATTTGCATTTGCCTTTTAAACCCATTCTTCAAACCATTTGCACTTAAAAAAGAGAAGGAGGGTGCTTCAACCTCTCCATGTTTTAGGGAAACCTTCACAAGGCTACCCTGCTTCTTGCTCATTCTGCCTAGAAATCAGAGTATAAGGCTTACCATAAAACCCTGCAATGGTTTGGGTTGGAAGGTATCTTAAAGACATCCAGTTCCAGCCTCCTGCCATAGGCAGGGCCACCTTCCACTAGACCAGCTTGCTCCAAGCTTCATCCAGCCTGGCCTGAAATAGGGATGGGGCATCCACAGCTTCTCTGGGCAACTTGTGCCAGTGCCTCACCGTGCCTACAGTTAACAATTCCTTCCTAAGTAAAGAATTTCCTCCTTCCTTTTCACAAATAAATGCAAAATCACCATGCAATGCAAAGCAGCAAGAGCACAGAGAAGGTAATGACTTCATCACAAGCTCTGGGGATACATAGCCAGAGCAGCAGGAAAAGAACTCTGTGCCCCACTTCCTTATCCTCCTGGGATTTATGGGCAGAAAGATAAGAAAAACCTTCCCATGCTGGGAATACCTTGAAAGTCTGAGCAGAGGCTGGTCCCGGTGGACCAGCCTGGTAGACCTCCAAATGTCCTGTTTCACCTAAGATATTCTAAGGAGAAAAACTTGTAAATGTCATTTTTCTTTTAAATGAAAAAGGATTTTTTTGTCCTCCTTGTGGTCAGTCAGCAATGCAACCCCATCTCACCCAAACCATTTTATCTGTGCAAAGTACAGCTACACCAGCATTGGTGCCTTCCAGAAGGGTGGATCCAACTGGGAAGGCACTGAGTACTCCCCTCCTGGGGACACCACCCATTCCCATCAGGGACAAGGGGTCCAGTCGCTGAGCTCCTGCCTTCAAGAATGCAATTCTCAAATGATCACGGATGCGTTCAGCTCTGTAAGGATCAAGCCAAGAGCTGTGAGATGACAGGAATCCAGGAAAGCTCCAAATACAGCCCCAAATTAATTCCATCCCTCTCCTGTACTGCAGGTGAGACTACTGAGGGTGTGGCAGCCCTTCCAAAACTGGGTGTCGGACACTACGCATGGAAAAATTAATATAAATCCTGCAACCAGGATAGGAAGGGGCTCAGCATCACCCCCGAGCCCGCAGCGCTGGCCGGGGCTCCGGCACCGCGCGGTCCCCGCAGCGCCCTCGGCCAGGGCCTGTCCCGGCTCGCCCCGGCACAGCCGGGGAACAAAGCCCGGCGGGGAGGAACGAGCAGACCAGGAATGAGCAGGCGTTCGAGGGTGTAAAAGCCGTTTCTTTTGTTTGGTTATTTGCTTCACTTAAACAGAAGTTGACGCAAGTGATTCCCCACGGGAAATGTCACTCTGTCATGACCCAGAAGGGTTTAGAGCGTCCTGGCTCTTGGTTTGGGCACCGGAAAATGCGTGGAGAGCTCAGAGCTGTGTGTGCCAACCCCGGCAGTGCCTTTTCCAGGCATGTCAGGAGCCTCCAGGATTGCATCGCAGAGAAAAAGAGGTCACCAGCCACCAAGGCAGGGCTGAGCCTCCTTGCACACGGCTGGGTCTTCCAGAGACCATCACCTCTCCTCCTCCCTCACCACTTTGGACTCCACACAAATAACTTCCCAGGGTGATAATATCCTTGACAGAGTTCTCCAGCAGGTTTTGTCCAGAATCAGGCCCCCCAGGAGGGCACATCTCACTGGGGACAGTGCTATCACCAAGCAGCTTCACAAGCTGATGGTGCAGGAGGAGAAGAGGGGGATGCCCATGTCACATACCATGAACCTTGAGCACAACACTGCAAATGTCACACATGACACACGTGCAGGGAAAGCAGTTCCTCAAGGCTTGACCCTGGACAGGACCCAGCAGAAAAAGCCCAAAACCCGGTGGGAAAAGCTTGGAGAGATAGAGAGCTGAAGGCAGGGCGTTGAGAGCAGCTGGGGAAGCCCCAGCGGGTGCACGAGCTCCCAGTATCCAGGGGAAAGGCGGGAACCAGGAACACCCTGATGCAACCACAGAAATATTTCCCCTGCTCTCCAGCCTGCACAGGGCTGCCCCGGGGAAAAGACTCAGGGGGGAAGGATGGATGCTCCAGTGGAGCCACATTGTGCCCATGGGCCAAATGCCTCCAGCATCTTTGGGATGAGCTCACATAGCCGAGATGCTGGGGAAGGAGGGAGGGGTGACAGATGGTCCAGCAGGGAAGGGACACAGCAAAACCCCAAACCAGGAGCTGACGTTAGGCTGATGCAACTTGGGAGAGTGGGAAGTTCAATCAAGATATTCTCTGGCTGAAGAGGGATAAACAATGAAAAGCCCTTTGGGTTGCACAACCACCTTCGCCCAGCCCTGTGATAGAGGCAATTGAACAATGAATGTTATTTTCTCCTTGGTAGGATGGGAGCCAAGCTTGCAGGTAGGAGACTGAGGGTGGGATGTGAGGGGTTATCCCCCACGAGAGGTCACAGACACGGGTGCAGGAGACAATGTGCCCAATTCAGCCTCCCCCCAAAAAAATTGTTTATGCAGCACCCCGTGACTTTAATTATAGTTAAAAGCAGGGTTGCGATATAAAGCAAGGTTATAATTTGTAGTCCGGGAGACACCTTGGACAGAAGGACAACCTGAAGTGTCACCCAGCCAAAAAAGCACAGGGCACCGCCATGGCAATAAACTCTGGAACAAACTCCGAGGACACGAGCCTGCATCTGGGATTGCAAAGGATGAGGAAATTGAGAGGAAAACGAGCTGCTGTGCGGAAAATCGCTTTAAAGACACCAGCATTCTGCGGGGGTTTGAAAGCAAAAGTTCTCTGTGTTCCCAAGCTCTCCGATAAACCCGGGCCAGAGAGTCCAAAGTTTGTTGAACCCAACTTTCCGGGGTGGGAGGAACTTGTGCAACCCCCCAGCGGTGCGGGGCGAGGGCACCCCGAGGAGGGGCATCCACCCGGGGGGAGCCCGCCCCCGGGCCAAAGCGCTCCGACAGCGTCCCCGCATCGTCTCCATTCTCATCCCGACCGCTCCGGGGGGCTCATCTCCCGCTCCTGGGACCCCCGGCACCACCTCGGTCCCGGGAGACCCGGCAGCTCGGCGAGACCTCCGCCAGCGGAGAGATCTCGGGGTCCATCTCCCACTCCTGGGATCCTGCCCCGGTCCCGGCAGTGCCGGCAGTTCCGCGGAACCCCTGCCGCCTTCCCGGTCCCGGGACCATCGTCAGCTTCCCGGTACCGGGAGTCCCGGTGCGAGACCTCGGGCAGCTCCCCGGCGCCGAGCTCCCCACTCCAGGGATCTGCCGCAGCTCCCAGCGCCGGAATCCCCGGCAGTTTCCCGAGACCGCTCCGCCTTTCCGATCGCGGGACCCTCGGTAGCTTCCTGGAACCCTCGGCTCCTCTCCGGTTGCGAGACCCCCGCTGGGAGACCCCCGGCAGCTCCCCGGTCCACCCGCCGGTCCCCAGCGCGACCCTCCAGCCCCGCATGCCCCGCTCGGGTGCCCCAGCACCTGCCCGCTCCCGGAGCCCCCCGCCGCCCCTTACCTGCCCCAGGCTGATGTACCCGTAGGCGGCGGCGAGGCGGGCGGCCTCGGCGGGGCCCCCCCGCACCCGCACGGCCCAGTGGTTGGTGTAGACGGTGCGGGCGGGCTCGGCGGCGGCCCCGCGCCCGGGCAGCGCCAGCGGCAGCGCCAGGGCCAGCAGGCAGAGGCGGGCGGGCGGCGGGGCGGCCGCGCTCCCCGCGCCGGGGCCGGCGGCGGGCATGGTGCGGGGCCGGGCCGGGCTGGGCGGAGCGGGGCGCTGCGCCTTTTAACCGGCCCCGCAGCCCGCGGGGGCGGGGGGATGCTCGGGGGGGGCGGGGAGGGCCCGGGAGAGCGGGCGGACGGGGCGGCCCCCGGCACTGCCCCCCCGCGTCCCCCCGCCTGCCGCCGGGCAGCCCCGCTGCGTGCCCGGCGCTGCTCCCCGGAAACCCCCCCGCACACCTCTGCAGCCCCCCTGCCCGATTCTGGGCAGCTGCCCGGACCTCTCCGTGCACGGCTGTGTCCCTTCCCCGCGTGTGTCCGGACAACTCCCTGTGCCCCTCGGCATCCTCCCTACCCGTCCAGGCGCTGGTCCCCGGACCGACCCCTGCATT